CTTGACGTTAAAGTTACGAGGGTGGTCCCAGAAGTACCCGACCTAACAAAGAAAACACAAAAATTTTGGGAAAAAATATATATTGATTTTTCTACATACATAATCTCCTTTCAGTTCTATACACTTTTCACAGTGATGCTCTTTTATAATAAGAACTGTCTTGCTCCTCAAAATAGAAATTAATTGCCGACTTCATTACTTCATCGTTAGAAACCACTTTGACCACGGCGCCATTTTTTGAAGTTGGGGAACAGAAAATAAACCGAGGGGGGCTAAATTTGGCAATTCAAACATTAATTCATTAATTTGGTAAACACTCAATTGAAACCTCTTCACGACACTGTTTTTGGTCGAGTGTGAGCAAATGCGGCAGCCATCTTGGACACACGCGGCCTCTCATTTCCAAATCTTCCGATAATATGCCATGTACCGCACTTTTTGAAATGCCTACTATATCTGCTAGCTCGCGCACTTTCAGTCGATGGTCATCCATTACCGCTTTGTGGATTTTCTTCACCATTTCTGGAGTCGCTACCTCATTTTAATCGACCACTGCGATGCTCGTCTTGGCAGCTCGTACGGTCTCGTTTAAACTCTGCTACCCAACATTTTACTATTGTAAACGTAGGGGCAGACCCGCCCAAAGTAGAAACTATTTCAGCTTTTATATTGGATGGGCTGAGGCCTTTCTAATAAAAGTATTGTATCACATAACGGTGGCCAATTTTCGCCATTTACACAAATTCACTGAAAACGTTCACTATTGACGGCTGCCAAGCGTCTTCAAACTTGAATTATATGCTTTATAGATTGTGTACTTTTTAACACAGTGATATTTTTCAAACAACTACCGCCATCTCTTGGTTAGGCCGGGTACTTTTGGGACCACCCTCGTAGGTTGAATAGAGTAAAATATATGCTAGCGTAACCTATGTAGTTCGTTATGGATAAATAAAATTGGTTTTTAAACAACTCACGATTGTAGAATATAAAAATAAATCATACCTACTTGCGTAACAACACGAATTTGCCTTTAACAGGTCTATTCTGCACGTTACCGAAGATTTTGTAACCTAAAAATTTCGTTTCCAAAAAATGTTACCAGTTCTTGTCACCGCGATTCTAGGTACGTTGGTAATGCAGTTAAAATATTCAGCAATTCAGCTATGAAGAATTGTGCAAATTCTGGCATTGCATATTTCACGGGGCAATATTTTGTTACCAGCTTATGAGATGGTAACAAAATTTACCGGTTCCAAGAGAGCACAGAATGCGAAAAGTTTTTAAAAATTGACAGGAACTTCATTCACCGGTTACAAAATGTATGTTACCAGCGCAGAATAGACCTGTAAGTATGAAATTGAGTTTTTTAAGATAGTTCTGGCTATCGCCGAATCCAACGTACTCCGATTTTCGTGATATTACGAAATGAATGCGAACACTGAATCCGAATTGCTACGAACGTATGTATGTATTTACATAGATTTCACGAAAAATCGGACTACGATGGATTCAGTGAAGGCCCTGAGTGTATGGCATGGCGCATAAACAAGCACATACACACACATACATACAGATGCATGCATGTCTGCTTACTTAAAATTATGTAAATTACCATTTGCAAAGTTATAATGAATGCCCCACCCTTGTGAAAAAATGCCTTTCGAAAACTGTGAAAATGCTTAAATGCAAAACTTTTTATAAAAACATACAAACATACATACATACATATACCTACATATATATGTTTGTATATGTATCACACATAGTATTTGTTAACTGCAGCAAAGCAAATCGAACGCAAATGTATGTATGTCACATACATATGTATATGTAAATGTTGCGTTTTACTACATACATACATATATTTTACATTTGTATAAAGAGAAATATAAATACATAAAAACACAACAATTGCAACATAAAGAAACCGTTTGAAAGTTTCTTACACTAATAATGAACTAATTCATAATTCAAATAATTAACTTATCTAGATAAATTATAGTGATACATGATATCGAAAGAAAGTAAAACAAACAAACACAATTTACTATAATCCACAACTATTGAAATACAATACATCATATATGTATGTATACTAAAATTTATATATTTTATTGTTAGTAGCCGCTGAAACGAAAGTAACTATCTAAAAAGTAGTTGTGCAAACTTAAAAAGCGAATAAATATAAAGAAATGCAAATCGGGGTAGTAGTTTTATTTAAGACATTATTGTCTTGAGTCTTGAAAGTTAGGCAACCAAACAAACATCTTTGTTGAAGACATCTTCAGCCGAGTGGTGAGGCAACAGAGAAGTAAGAATATTTATACATACATATATACATTTGTATTTGTACAATATTTATGTGCGTTAATACTAATGATTTCTTTTTTTCTTTCTTTTTCAGCAAATTTATGCATTACATTTCTATAGTTTCACATGTAGTCTCATATGTACATACATACATACATACATACATACATAAATATATTAAATACGAATGTTAAATTTGTACAATTTAATCTAATTGTTGTTTCTTTTCTTCTAGGTTCATGGATGCCATTCTGTCGAGTGCATTATTTATTAAAAAATGCTCATACATAGTTACATACGTACAAATATTACGTTAAGGGAATTGTCCGTTGAAGGGAATTACTCCAGGCAAGAAGTTAATTGTTCTAATCTTTATTGTTGCCCGATGAGCCTTTAACGCACTAATGAAATACTTACTTATACTTATGAATTGATACGTTAAGCTAATAAATTGTTCAATTGAAGCAACAAATTAACAAAATATCCATTTAATAATAGAATGAGCCTATAAAAAAAAAACAACACAAACAAACCAACAAAACTAATAACATTTTCTTGATCAGCCAGATTGATTCATTATTCTAAGTGCATATTGTATATAGATCAGATTGGTCCAACAAAAAAGTAAAGACGGAATTTCAATGCTCTACCCCAAGGGCCCCGAACGGTAGCATCTGTTTACACTACGTTAAAGTTTACGCTCTTATAATTTTATTTTCATATACATTGCCTTGGAAAGCTAATAGCGATGTGTAAAAATAGAGTTAACCATTTACCTCTTCCTAATATGTGGCGTTTTGAGCCTCACTTCATGCAGTTGGTTAGGAATTGTAGTTATGGGGTTAAATTTTTTCCCAAACATGTAAAGCAGAGGGCCATTGAATAAACTAAAATTCTTTATGTATGAAAAAATTCCATATTTTATCATCGAATTTTTGTTTTTTCGGGGACGCCTAGTAAAATTGTTTGCATAACATTTTTCCACGACATTTTAACCCTTTTTAATTGGTTTATATTTGTATACTTTTACCTACAGTAAACATATTTATGATAACGTAGAGCAAAATCCTTTCAGAATTCGAACATCAGGAATGGATACTACCGTTTCGGCATTATTTGGTTGAGGCGGCCACAAAATAGCTGGTCGACCTTTACAAACTTAACTTTAGAAAAAACACAAAACATTTCAACCTTTTCGATTAGTTCTTCTACTTATTTCTGAAGACCATAGCACACCTTTAATAATAAAGAGAATTATCTCAAAATTAAAATTTTGTGGGAAATCGCAATCAAGATTTGATGAGTTCATATACTGCATATCGACTACTGAGTGGAAGATAGATCATCCTATCTCGGCAGCCAGTTCGAAAACGCCCTACCTCAAAAAACTTTTAAGGAACGCCCGCCGTTTCAGGATTTGGTTGAAGCCCTATTTAGAATTCGATTTAAAAGCAAACCATCTCAGCACATTTTCAGTACTTTTTTTAAGTGAGATAGCGCGTTCTTGAACCGGATTCTGAGATAGGGCGTTCTTTAACAAAATTCTGAGATATGGTGTTTTTCAATAAAATTCTGAAACAAGGCGTTTTTGAAAAGTTTTTGTTGAGATAGGGCGTTTTCGAATTAGCTGCCGAGATAAGTCGATCTTCCACTCAGCAGTCGATATGCAGACACCCAGAGAATAGTCAGCTAAAAATATTTCTCTCAACACATGATTTGGTAACTTGAACTAAATAATGTAACTACCCAATAATTGGCATTGGGCTTAGTTAACAAATTTTCGAGTCTCAGATTCTCTAACTAAAGTGTGGAATAGGTTAGTATTCGATTCGAGCACTAGGCCATTCTCCAATGTATGTTTCCTTCGTTATGAATTGGAAATCCAGCCCGTTATCGAATTGAAAGTTTAATGAGAGAGAGTGATCATCTTACATTTCCCTTTGAGAATGAGCTGGATTTCACTTTCTCTCTTGTTACTATGGTTTTCGTTTTTTTTTTCGAACCCATCTCGAATGTATTTCCTATATACTATGAACGTTGGAAAACTAAGGTTGGTTATGAATTCGCTCTCAGTTCGATATTCTTATTGGATGTCGAAGGTCATTTTCGAACGTTCGCCAAAATATTTACAGCGTATAACCAAATTATGTGTTGAGAGAAATATATTTAGCTGACTTTTCTGTGTGTAGTTGGTTTACAAAAAAAAAAAAAAAGAACAAATGGACTTGCCATTTTTAGGGACTTTAGTTATCTGTAAAATCTCCAAAAACGTAAATTTTTAATTAACTCTCTATTGTGTTATTAAACGTGTGTTATAGGTATGTATATATTTATATGTATGGCTACTTTATTCGTTACAGTGTTTAGTTGAGCAAATGTTAATATTATTTTCAGAGAGAAAGCATTTTCTTATTCGCAATTTAACCAATAATCATCAAAAATCTCATCATTAGCCATAAGGTTCATTAAAAATGGGAAATATTTCATGCATCACACAACGGGCTCTCATCAAAAGTTGGCAATCATAATCAGACAGGCATCATGTGTATATAGTATACATAGTTCATAAGCATCTACGTATCTACATATGTAAATACATCCGCGTATACGAGCATTCTGTGTGGTTAAAAACTTACACGCTTCATAAGTAATCACCGTCAACAACCGTCTCGCACTCTTGGTACATACATACATCATACATACATATGTAAATTCATGGGTAATTAACTTGTTTTATTGGTTATTTAAATCTAAAATTTATCACCAGTAAACTCTCAAAGAAACATGCAAAGCATTTTAGTTCTAATAACGAATTTTCAAAATTTGTATTTTACATTTTTTACATAATTTATTATTTATGCAATAGCAATTATTTATGTATTTCCGATTATTCATTGAATGTTTATGTTTATGCGCCTACGAATATGAATGCACCATTTTTTATGAATTATTTTGAGTTATGATTTTTTTCTGTTTGTTTCGTGTTCTTTTTCTTTTTCTTTTTATTTACATATATATGTACGTGTGGGCAGACATATACCCAATACTTGGTAGCTTGTTGGGCGTTGATACAAGCGTCACTGCGCCGGGCACATCAGCGAGAAGTGCCCCGAACGCTGCGAGCCGGAACGAGCCGCCTGTGAATGATTTGTATTCGTATCTGAATAATAACAGCAGCGGTGCAGCAGCGATGCTACAGCGCGAAAGCTTTATGCAGTGCAGGCATTGCAACCGTTACTACCCGACCATACAGAAGCTGCAAGAACACGTGCGCAAGTATTGTCTGAAGGAGAAGAAGTACAAGTGCATATCGTGCGAGTATCGATCGCGTCGTAAGGATCATGTTCTGCGTCATGCCAAGCGCAAGCATTGCGAACTATACGAGGCATCGCGTGACAACGAGGAGAGTCTCTATGAGATACGCAACGAGGACGAAGTGGAGGATCCGCCTAGATACGAGGATCACACGGGCGACCATGATGGTGCCATCTATGGTGGTGGCGACGGTGATGGAGATATCGAGGCTGATGACCTTGATGACGTCTGTGATGAAATGCCTGTGAATGCGTTCCTCGACGTGGGCCCTTTCAACTTTGGCTTAGGAAGCAGAGATCTAACAATTACCGCTGTGCCTATACTACAGGACAGCGAGGACGATGATGACGATAACTACGACGACGATGAGGAAGATTAGATGATGGGGACATTAGTAACCCACCACATACATACATATACAGGCGCAATATGTATGTACTGTAAATATTGTGAAACTGGATATCAAGTGATCAACCTAACATCAATACTATAAATAAGCAAAGTCGGGATTTTAATACTCACATCCCCAAGAACTGTTCGAATATCGAAAAAAAACCCTATCTTTTATTTTGAAATCAAAAAATATTTAGAGGTCGCTCAAAGCGCTCAAAGTTTTTCATGTATTTTATATAGGGAAAAACCCATTTTTCGATTGGAAGGCTCTCTTTCTCTTCAGGATATATTCAATAACAACACTAAATTGTTTATTTAACAAATTTTTATTTCTAAAGATTTTTTGTTTATCCCCCATTGTATTTTCTGGTTGTTTTGGCGGTCCTACAAAAATATAGTTAAATAAATAATAAATAAATAACTTCGTTGTATTATTGGAAATCTTTGAGCGACCTCCAAATATGTTTAGATTTCAAAATAATAAGTAGTGGTTTATTTCTTTCGGTATAGAACAAGCCTAGCGGGTGAGAGCATAAAAATTCCAACTTTACTTTTTCACATGCATTTTTGGACCACCCTAATATACATACATCAAGCACGGGAGTCCTCTTTACGGATGGACATGTGTATGTGTGTATGTATATAGTACTGTACATTAGACTGGGTCGTGAAAATATTTTGTAATACCCCTACCCAGGTGTGAAGCATTCTTGAGTAGGAATTAGCGCCAAAGCGAGTTTTTTTCTTCATCATTTTTTATTTCTAATCAGATATTTAAGTATTGTAGTAGGTATCTTTTCTTAATATCCTTTCGACCCAAATTACTTTCTTCGACCAGATTGTCCCCTTTTCTATCAATCTAACTAAATTTAATCTTAGTTATCACAAATTTAAATTTAGTTAATCATAAATTATTTCATGATCTTCGCTTTTTTCTTAACAATCATAAGGATATTAAGCATTACTTATAACACTTTGCATAAGGAATACTACGAACCTTTTGAGGGACCGAATGTGGGCTGTAGCCATAGCCGAATTGAAATTGTTTTAAAAACTTTTCTAATACCCTGAAATGTTCTCAACTGGATTTTAGGATTTAGGCTTTTTACCTAAACACCAGACTTGCCATGTATGGTGGTGAATATGGGTATTTCCATACGTCACATGCGTGACAGTCTTACGTTTCAATGAGATACTAACAAGGAAAAACATTTGTTTTCTTTTACTCTTTTTTAGACCCTTGTATAGCACATAATTAGCCTTATATTTAGCCAAAAGGGTGTGTCGTTATGTGACAAAAAATGGAAGTTGATTTTTTCTTTATGTTCTTACAAAATCGCAAAACTCTGCGAATTGTGGATGGCTCTTTTCTTGCAACTTGATTTAATATAATTTGGAGTAATTCTAGTTGTTTTTAGAGTTTTTTTAATTAATGAAACCTGTTTCAATTTTCTTTTACAACCCCAAGCGTGAAACGTTACGTGACGTGGCGTCATGTGACATAGATTTCGATCATTATATTTTTGTTAATTTTGCTTTCAAATGAATTTTTAATGCAAATAAAACATACATTTTATGTCGAATATACTTTATATTTTGACTTCAGCGCCAATTCAGGGTAATTTTTTTGAAATTTGTGATTTATTATGTTCCAATTACATACGCCCAATTTGAACCAAATCGGACCATAAATAAGGTGTTTCAAAATATCTTGACCTTGGCGCCATTTAGCAAGACCATTTTACGCAAAAAAATTTCTACTTACATAGCCTGTATATATTAAAAAAAGCGGACAAATTGGCCCAGAACAGGTTATACCACGTTTTTACCACTTTAAGCGATTCTCGACCATAACATCGAGCTAGAAATTATTTGGTAAATTACTGTGAGCAAAGGATAATGATTTCCTCTACCAAAATATTGTGTTTTTCAGCAAAGTATCCAGCTTATGTAAATTTTTCAAAACAAAAAAAAAAACTATGTGAAAAAACTTTTCACAGTGAAAACTTTTTGACAAATAAATTTGTTTTCCGAATGGCAATTTTGTGATAAATGATGAAAAATATTTTCACTCCACGTTTTCACAGAACAAGAATTGGCCCCCTGTTCTAAAAAAAAAAAACGAAAAATGCATATAAATGACATTCAATAAATGGAAAAGAAATTTTCTTCTATTAAAATTCCTTAAATCAGTTTACAACTCTGAACAAAATGCTCATATATGTATTTCTACATGAAAATTTACAGTAAAGGCAAAGTACTTTTTCAAGCAATAGAAATAATGCAAAAAATTTCTTCAAATTTTTCTTAGGAGCTCAAAGCTTAATGAATGAAAAACAATGGAAAATCAGGGATCAGCACAACGCCTTCGTCTTGACCGGCGGTGAAATTATTAAGATCACATTCACATATTGCGTCATCTGTTACTCAAAAGCCCAAATACCTACACACACACACACATACTTTTTGTCACCTTCTCTCACTTCCAGCGCATGCGCGTGTTTGCATATTGATGACATAATTATTTCGTATGGAAAATTATTTACGCCCATATATTTGAATCAATCAAATAAACATACCTAGAAGATATCAGCCAATACTTCCAATATAATAAACGAATGGAAAAAATCTGAATTTTTGATAACAAAAAAAAAAAACAAAAACAAAATCATTCGAGCGATTTTCGAGAATTTTGGTAATAAAAAAATGTTCTTATTTTTTCAACAATTTCTTGCCTTAAAATGCTCAGTACACGTTGAATTTATATAAAACTCGCAATAAGCATTTTCGTGAAGCTCTAAAAATTACAACTAAAACATTTGAGCATAGCCTCCATATCGAAACGTCAGACGTATTCTAAGATCAAAAACGAACTTTAAGATCGCCTACAAAACAGGCGATGGAAACGATAACATATTTAAAAGTTAACAGAATGTTAATCTTTTTTAAATTTTACCGTGGAAAGGCCGACAGGGCCTTAAATTATTTCACTTATACGCGCCAGGTATGAATACAAGTAGGATGGAAAAATTGTAATAAAAATTATAATGGCAAGGATTATGACAGCAAAAATAAGGCTCCAAACATAATCAGCCCTATCGCTTACTCCATGTGAATAAATCGTTTCCATAATTTAATAAAAAAAAAGAAAAATGCGAAAAATTTGTTCACATGGAATTAGTGGTAAGGACGAATGACTTTTTAATGATATTAAAATCCAAAATATCATTTTTCGAAAAAAAATTAAATCATAATTTAACGGAAAAAAATCTTCCAAACAAATATCTTCATACAAGCAAATATCAAAATGACCTTAAATATCAAGATTTTTATTTTAAGTCATAACAAACTCGATATCTTTGATTTTTAATTTTTCGATCATTTTTAGACGTTATGACGTTTTGACGTTAAATTATGATATTTGTTATGATATTTGTTACGGTATACTTTCTCGCCAGGGTTTAAACTTGCCAATTTCGCTGGTAGAAGGACAACCGAGTTCACTATATGAAGTGGGGGGGCAGTCTAATATGCATACATACATACATAGATACGTATGTATATATCAAAATAAATCTTGCCATTTATTTGAAGCGTAAACATTTTTGTGTAATAAAACATTTTCTGTGATTAAACAACTCGATTGTACTAATGTAGATCATGAAAATTGTCAAACCGCGGAAGCCGTCTTTTCTGTATCTACCTACTTATTAATTTAATTACAGTTTCCTAGTTATAACAAATTTAATAATCCTTTTTTCTTATACACCAACACATACATACATATACATATGTATATCATATGTACATACATACATATTTATTTATGAGAATCCCAAGGCATCAGAATTTGTCTCGCATTGTCGTAATGCTGACCACCACACATGCGGCGACCGTTTAATATTGATATTTCGGGCTACAGTTGCGGCAAAATAAATTTCAGTGTGTAATAGGATACAGTCAGAGAAACATATCGCGGTTAAATATTTTATGGCAATGCAAAATATGCTATTAACTTTGCTAATAACCCGAAAGCATATTTTGACTGTTATACAATTTATTACCAAACTATTATAGGGCAATATGAATTATATAATAACACCTTACAATCACGTACAGTAGATATCGGTTATATGCAAGTGTTATAATTTATAAACATTTTTGCATACAGGCAGTGCATAAAAGCGGCTCATCATGTAACCGATATTTACTGTAATTTAAAAACGATTTATTAACTACATAAGAAAATAATCATGAATATCTTTTTAAATCGTGTAAGTTATTACATTCTTTTAGAACCCATTTACACCCTGCTTCACTTGAATAGGTACATCTTTTTTACGAACTGGTCTGTTTCAGAATAAAAGGCCGTTAGTGGGCGAAAATGTTCTAGTTCAGCATGAAAATTGTACCATTTGCATTATATTTCAAATATCCAGATCCAACAATTTATAAAAAAATTTAAATAGACCACAAACAAAAATTCTACAAAAAATCTACATAGTTGCGGGGCACAGCAATTAAATATGAATAAACACTTTTACTAGAAATAGTATACACTAGTGAACCCGCATGGCGTTAAAACGCCAAAATTGAATTGACCTTTTTAAACAGGTGAAACCCTATTCAAAAATCTCAAAAAGTATTCTTAATGACTCATCTAAACCATTTCTAAGTGATTAGAGGTCTCGCATGGCGTCGGTTTTCATTTCATCAAATTTAAAATCTCCCTGTATCGCTAAAAAGGTTATATTAAAAAAAAAATCTTATTGCACGGCTATTTAGAATCCCAGTTCTTTAATGTGACTTCTCATTTTGTAAATTCGAAATAACGGTGCAGATGTGATGACCCCCCAAAAAAAAAAATAGATTCAGCCCTCATTAAAAATATTATCAGCCTAAATTTTTTTTAAAATCCTTTCGCTTGACACTAATATTTCGATACTTCATTTATATAAGCTGTCTATAAGTAAAATTCGACAATTCGGCAGTTAATTTAAAAGTAATTTCAAACTAAAATTTTTTTTATCGTCTGGCATTGTTATATATGTTTCAATTAACTGATGAATTGGTTTTTTAAGTACATGGCAACTCTCCTAAATACATTTCAGAAATAAATTATTTTCAAACCCATTTCGATTGATACCCATCTTTTGAAAATCCATTTAATTTATTAAATAATTTGAATTGAATTTCTTCAACAGATGGCAGCCCTTT